CAGGCACAACACGAAACCATTGTTTCAATTCTGCTTTGAGACTAAGACAATCGTTTTTTATTTCCTCAGAGTAGTAAGGGCGGGAGGATCTGACACAATATCTTTATCACAGTATTAAGGCTCTTTACAACATCGGAAATATCGTCACGAGCCATTTTAGACTTTTCAGTGTAACGTGGCTTTGCTGTGCGGTAAGAAGAATGATTTATGCTTTAACATTAACATAAAAAAAACACTTATTAGAACCATTTTACGACTCTTCTCAGGAAAAGTATTGCGAGTTTACTTTACGTTATAATTGCAGGTATCTACTAATCATAATCAAATGCCATTATTAGGTTAGTTTAATACTAACATGTTTATGTTTGCCACATATGACCTGTTGAAAGCCACAGGAATAGAGTCGGTAAGCATGTAGCGTTTAAAGGAAGGTAACGAAGTTGTAATGATGGTAATGAAGGTCTAATGAAGGTCTGTAAGGTTTAAGGAAGTTAGTGTGAGTGCAGAAGATCGCCGCGTGTCGGATTTCTAAAGTAGTGAGTGCAACATAATGTTCAAACATTGTTACATGTTGTCAAACGGATTCCTCTGGCAGCAGGAAGAGAACTACTACGCATGTGCTTTAGACTATTTTTAAGCCCCAAGATCTTTAAAATTAGCATACGAAGCCTTAATACATCGCATCCCTGCAATATAATTGTAACTCAGTGCCGCTGGTCCGCATGTTTTAACTCCCCTACTCCTCTAGGAAGTCTTTATTTACCTCAGCATTCTGTAACTTTGAGTCCGGGATTAAAGGAAGATCCCTCTCTTCAAAAAAATATCATCAAGATGACGTGCGAGGGTTAGAGATTTTCCAAATTAAAATAATAGTAAACGGTTTTCCTTCGACTATTTCTCAAAACTACCAAGTAAAATTGATTTTAACCATGCAGTCCATGTTGATTAATGGTCCATTTCATTGAGACATGCTGTATATATGCATGCTTTTAAACTCACGAATCGTGGATCGAGGCCCCAAGCAAAATCATAAACAACGTAACATTGAGTGCGGAGTTTTTTTCATGTCTTCTTGGATTTGTTTCTTTTCAAAAGCCCTAGGATTCTTTTCGTGCTATATTTGTTTGTAAGTATAAATAAACCCTTTTGAATCACTAAGATGTCTTTTTGTGCATTTGTGAGCCAGGTATGATTGCCGGGTACGAAATAGAATAAAAACCAATCGAATCAGTATGTCGTTTTCCGCAAATTGTCTTAAGCCAGTCAAGGCCTTCTTGCGTACACCGCCTTGATTGCCAAATTTAAAATCTTTAGACGAGATTGGTTAAGTTAAACGAACATTTAAAGAATACCATCAGCTAAGCTGAAGTTGAGTCAACATGCAGCAAGTGACAAACTTACAACAAACTTATCCGCCAACTTCGATCCATTAGCTGGCTCACAATATTTCTTTAACCACTTAAACAAAACGTAACAAAAAAGAAAACATAAATAAATAAATAAAAGATTAGCAGTGAGGTGCATAAATTACACTAGTCCAGTTAAAACTTGAAAATGTGCATGCAGAGGGCAAAAGGTAAAAATAATGAAACAGAGTGTGCATTTTTACAAGTTAAACCTCACAGAAACAAATAAAGTACGACAGGACAAATAACACAATTTCATCTTGCTGTACCAACTAAACAGTTACTCATTGGTCCGAAAGGCAATGAGTGAAGATAAGAAACTCCTCGTCGTAATTTACGTCAAACAAAGGACCAGTGTCTGCTCGAGGAACCAGTCAATAAGTGATACTACTTCGTAGAGTTACAAAAAATTCATTTCGTAGATCAGACGTTTAACTCAAATAAGGAGATTTTTGTTGCTTACAAGAAGGTTACATAGTTTATTATACACCTTGGCACAGTAACTGTGGGATACAGAATAAAGCCAACTGAAAAGAAGACCCCGTTCTTCCGTATTGGCACCACTAGACTACGAGTCGCTGGGGTACAATGTGGTACAGGTCACACGCAGGGTCTAGTCTAGCGCAAGGACAGCTCACATGAAGCGGAGACGGGTCACACGCGGGAACTGCACACGCAAGGACAGGTCACACGCGGGGAATGGTATTACAATCTTTTTCTAGGAAAAAAAGTGCGCGTAAATACAGAGCGAGTATATCCGATCGTGCTCATATCCCCCCCCCAAGCCCCTGGGCATCCCCTAATACTCCTTAAATCTTATTAATTCAATATGGAGGCCGTATCGGTAAAAAGGTCTATTGTCGATGCGAAATGTCAACTTATAGCCTGCGAGTACAGCCACCTCTGAAAGCTCTGCACTACTGGGACGTTTTGCAGACTTATCACCTAGTGCGTCCTAACCTTTCCTGCTACCACTGCAAAACATCAGTTTTTAATAATATATATATTTTTATCTTTACCTCTTTGTCAAGGGCTGGATGGAACAAAACAAAGCCATTGTTGTTAATGGCAAACCCATATCCATTTGCACCAACCTGCAACGATGAAACAAGTTCAACGACCCTTTATTCACAGACCAGATACCTACATGTATCAAAACCGGCAGACAACTGCAAGCACGGGAAAACAAAGTCGTTTTACAAAATACCTCACTTCCTGGAACAGTGTCTTCTAACTGAGGCAAAGCCACATCAGTTCCAACTACACCAAGAAGCTCTTTATGTTCCTGACATAAGCAAAGTTAAATGTAAATAGTAGCTTCTACAAGTACAAAGTTAGGTTTATGCAAGTTTGTCATAATGACTGGATTATGTAAGGATTATTGCACTAACAGTTATTATATGACGGAGATACAATCATGATGCACAGTCGTTTGAACAGGCGTCAGGATCAGGGTCGTAATCACAACTCTCACTGGAAGCGCAGAACGTTGCATCTTCCAGTAAGAACAGCGTTCTGATTGTACTTACAACTCCGTGCTTATATTGCTGGTTTTAAGTGTCATGCGATTCAAAATAGATCAAAATAAAAATCAAAACCGTTCAATAGATAAAGTCCGGAATCTGGGAAATGAAAGGAGGTAAATATAACAAGTTTCTCGCCAAGATTCAGGTCAGAAGAATATTCCGTATACGAGATATCCGAAGAAATGTTTTACCCAAATTTATAGAGATTTGTAGGGAGACGCCATGCTGGTGCCCACCTGGATGGGCACCAACATGGCGGACGGAAACCAACAAAAACATCTATTACCGAGTTTTGGTACAGAAGCGTGAATTTATTCCTGGGGGAACTCATAAACATTAAAGTAATACTTTCTCTAATTCATGAACTGTTTGGATAGCAAAATTCCCCGAAATAAGTCACTTTTTTACATGACAACTCTCCCGGCCGATTTTAGTGACGTCATGTGAAAACCAACAATAAGTAGAGTTACTTTAAATAAAACTGAACCATTGTTTTAGGGTATTCTCTGATTCCAACGCGTTTTTAAAGTTTTAACGAGAGACCAATCATGACATAGCTCCTTTAAGGTGACTCGACCCAGTTATTTTGTGAGGGTACCATCCTACTTTGAAGCTCTCTGGTATCCCCACCTTTACTTTGATCGTAAGTCTAACATATAGCATGGATAACATATAGATCAATCTACAATATAACAAGAAATTTTAAGACAATAAGTTACGCAAAATTTGGGGGCCAGACAGAGTGTATTATGGGGAATTCGAAAATAGTCAATAGAAATTATAGTTTTAGCTATTTGTTGACATTAATGTAAGCGTTTAAGAGTCCTTCTCGCGAAAAAAGCATTTTCTTAAAAATTCGTAGTTTTTTTTCCTTCAAATTTTTTCAGGGCCACAATTGATTAACTAACTACCCGGATTCTGAATTTCATGGTCATTGAAAAACTATGACATTATCTTCTATAAGCTCAAACTTGAGTTCACATTGAAGATTTTTAGCGTTTTGGCTGAGTTCGTGCTTTGGGAGTTTTCTATTGTTTCTAGTCTGTCATGATACAGCATTCTTGTTCAGAACGTGTGCAATGACCGCGCTTGGCTGACTTCCGAATGCTCACCGAGATATGATAATTTAGGGCTTTATAAGCAACACTACAGTTGAGTAAGAATTCGAATAGTACTATTGAATGTTTTTAAGCAAGACGACCTTTTCGTGAACAGAAATGGACGATGAGAAAAACCAATGAATCATTGATTTTAGGTTAAATTTTCAACCAAGCAACTGCTCATTTACAACGTGACTAAGACCATGCCACGGTGTTTATGTGCATGTACTTACAGTCTTGTTAAACACTGGGGCTACAAGTGTGATCATCAAACCAAGTCCCTGTTTAAAAAAAGTAAGAATTTACACGGTTATACCTCACTCGTTTTTTGGAAGAAATTAAGGTAAAGTTCAAGTGCTTTGTCTGACAATGCTAATCTTCCATGGTGTTTGTCCGGAATCAACAATGCTGACACTCCAGCTCATTTATCAACCTTACTGGAGAAAGACAAAGTTTCTTCTGTTTAAGACGGATTATAATCTTAGTTTGTAACTACAGCAAAATGTGCCCCGAACAAACTTCCGTAATGACAGAATTGTTGTAGGTGCAGTTCATCTAGGGAATAATAATATAATGATAATTTCTTAATTGTTTTTTAAGCACAAATACATGCTAAAAACCAAGAACACTTTCATTAGAAACAGCAGAAAGAATTACAAGGCTTAAAAAAATCCATGTAGAAGCACTGAATTTAACATTCAAGATCCATGTTACATTAAATAGCTACTCTATATTTTAAAAATAGCCTATTAAAAAACTATTTTTAAAACGCTGGGTATTAACCCTAGGGAACTGACTGCTAGGAACTCGGAGGCGCGCTGAACTTTCTTTCGTTTTGGGGACGGAAGGGTACATAGGGTGGCCGGGCTTACTGGAGATCTTCTTGAATAGTGAGCGATCTGCCTCTTCAAATAAGTCGTATATGTCAATTTATTACGAAATATATTTGCGTTTAAAGCAGCGCTGTAGAAAATTCTGGACCGTTGTTAATTCAGGTATTGAGGAGACGTATATAGGAGGACCGTACGTTAGTTTCGGTAAAAGAATTGATCTATATACGTAATCTACATCTGGTTGTTGGTATCCCTCTTTACGTAAATATCTTATCACATAAAGACACTTATTGGCCTCCTGCAGCTTAACCTTAATATGCTCATTAAATCTGTGTTTACTGTGTAAAGTAACCCCTAACACGTTTAAACAAAAAACTTGCGTTATATTGTTCACAGGGTGTATATCATGAGCATCCTTCTTGCAAATTAATCTTGGGATTACATGCCATGGCATTATCTTGAGTCGAACTGAAAAACTGGTTGACAACCTCTTGAGAAAGATCTATTTCATTCTCACATACTTCGACTAGCAGGGTGGTGTCGTCAGCATATTTAACTATGCTGGTTAGTTCATTATCCTAGCTAATGGCCAAATCGTTAATAAACAAATTAAAAACATGGGGCCCACTTACACTACCCTGGGTTGTTCCTTTGTTCACAGTATGCCATTTATAGGTAACACCCTTAAATATAAGTTTTTGCTTCCTATCCATTAGAAAGCTTAGATACCAGTTAACAACATGTGGATTGAGATGAAGAAGCCTTTAGCTTTTCTCCAACTAATGAGTGTTTCACATAGTTACTGTTTACAATCCTTATCATCAAGTGCCTTTAAGTAATTATACTGTACTTGAATCAAAGCGTTCGTACAACTTGTTTATGGTTTACTGTTTTGTTTGCCAAAAATTAAACAAATCAAATTTAAATCTAATTACCTTAACTCTCATGGCGAGGAAGCCCAAGAGAAGCCACCGGGCTTATAAGGAATGGGCTCCCTCAGTTAGATAATTAGAACAAAATATTATCATAATTACACACGGGAAAATCAATGGCAGAGCTACAGTAAATCTTAAAATAAGTATATTAGATAGTCGTACTAATCATAGTTCTAGGCTAAAAAGAGCGAAATGACAAAAAGAAAAAAAAACAAACAAAAACAAACAAACAAAAGAAAATAAAAGAGCAAAGGAAGAAAAAAATACATATATATATATATATATATATATATATATATATATATATATAAATTACTATTTATGATAAGAGGAATGCTTTCAGCTTACAGCAAAAGGAAGCGGTACTTGTTGCATTTCGAATTTCAAAACTAAGAGAGTTAAAAAATTTAGGACCTTGGAAACTGATGGAGAACTTTCTTATATTAGTCCTGCATTGTGGTAAATAAAAATGCTCAGAACTTCTAGTGCCATAAGAATGCACCTGGCGTGTCAACAGAAACATGTTATTGAAGCTATAAGGAAGTAAGCCAGATCTGTATTGATACATAAATTTTCCTATTTGAAGTTTGTAGATACTCTCAAGATTCAGAATTTTTAAATTTTTAAATAACGGGTCAGTGTGAGCATCGAAAGCACTCCTCGACATTATTCTTACGACCCGTTTTTGAAGTGTGATTAATCTTCTGAGGTTTGATGGGTAGGTCGATGCCCAGACGCTCACGCAGTAGAATAAGTATGGGTAGATAAGGCTAAAATAAAGCATCCGTAAGGAGGAATTATTAAGGCAAAAACTTGATTTATAAATTATACCTATGGCTTTAGACACTTTCCTAGCAACATTATGTATATGTGATTTCCATGTTAAATGTTCATCCAAAATTACACCAAGAAAAGTAGCTTCCTTAACACGGTCAATCGAATAATTACTAATATTAAAAGCTAAATCAAATGTTTTCCTGTTTTGTCTCGGATTTCTTAACATTAATAGATAGCTTATTTGTATAAAACCAACACGTTATCTTTTTCAATTCTAAATTTACAACTTCCATAAGATAGGAAGCATCAGTATGCGAATAGAAGATATTAGTGTCATCAGCAAATAGTATCAGCTCTAAGACATTTGACACATTACATAGATCATTTATATATACTAAGAATAACAGGGGACCTAAGATAGATCCCTGAGGGACTCCGCAAGTGATATCTAATGATGAAGAGTTGTAATCATTATATTGCACAAATTGTTTTCGACAAGATAGACAACTTTTAAACCATTGTAAAGCAATACCACGTACTCCATAATGTTCTAATTTGTCGCGCAAAATTTCATGATTTACTGTATCAAAGGCCTTAGATAAGTCAATGAATAGGCCTAAAGTTACCCTTTTATTATCAAGTGCATTTGAGATCTTGTCATACAATTGGATTAAAGCATGTGCAGTAGAATAATTTTTCCTGAATCCATACTGATTCCGGGAAAGAATATCATATTTATTGAAAAAATAATGAGGCGATTGTAGACGATTCTCTCTAGGAATTTAGAGAAAACTGGTAACACTGATACGGGTCTGTAATTTGTGAACAAAGATTTATCACCAGATTTAAACAATGGAATAACTCGTGCAATTTTCATCTCTTGGGGCACAACTCCAGAATTAAGAGACAAGTTAATTATATAC